GTGCAATTATGTAAATAATTTGCTCGCGCTGAACTTCGATCCTTCGATCATGCCCGCGTATACCTCGACGATGCACCATGCCGCGGTAATACGGTGACATTGACAGCGTCGTTGCGGCTCGATGCGAATGTCGTTGTAATCTGTGATGATGCGCGCAAATGTAAATAAAACCTGCGACGTCGGTAGATAGACGTTGCTCACGTCGCGCGTACTCGTGATTAAAAAATACGGCGCGGAGCACGGCAACGGACCCGCTCGCGTCGTCGAGCCCCGGCGATGCTCATGATCGGCGTTCCCTTGACGGCTGTATCCCCTCGCGTTTAATTGTACCATGATGGGAATATTGTACGAGAAGAGGCCGCTCAAGAGGCCGAGGCTGGGTCCCCCGGACGTCTACCCCCAGGAGCTGAAGCAAAAGGAGGACGAGCTCTCGCTTACGAATGTCAAGCATGGCTTTATGGCCACCACGACTCAGCTGACGGATGAATCTGGAACGGGCAGAAACTACAATGTCACCGCTGCCAAAGTCGGCGCGTACTTCAACGCGATCCTCGCCAAGAAGGAGGAGCTCGCGACGATGCCCGACACCGGTAGGAAGAGACAGCAGATCAATCCCAAGGACAACTTCTGGCCGGTAACAGCTAGGACGAAGAACGGCATTGAGGCTTGGTTCAAGGATCTCTCGGGCAGCAAACCACTGGTCGCTCTTGCGAAGAAGGCTCCAAATTTTAATAAAAAAGAAGAGATCTTTATGATGCTCTGCGAGTATCAGGTACCAATGCTGAGGGCAGCTTGGTTCATCAAACTCAGTTCGGCGTACACAGTTGCAGTCTCAGAAGCCAAGATAAAGAAGCGTCAGTTGCCTGATCCAACCACAGGTAATAACTTCAATACTATTTTGTGTTTGCAAGTTTTATTTTAATGAAATTGAGAAAATAACAGAGAATAACGTCAAGATTATTTTATTTACCTATTAAAGTGTATTGTATTTTTACTAAACTATTTCACATTACATTATTTTTTATCATAATTAAAATTTATATCTTTTACCTTGAAGGATATTAAAAATATTAAATGATAAAAATATGATTGTTTTTTTTTTCTGGCAGAATGGACAGGTACCCTCATAAAATTTTTGAAAGATCAGTTGTCTAAATTGCAAGAGTACTATCACATGGGCAATCATGTTGCTAATACTAGTAACAATAATAGCACAGCAAACAGTTCCTGCGCCAGTAATGGGACTACTGCAACAAATAGCAGCAGCAGCAGCAACAACAGTAACAGCACTAACAACAACAGCAACAATAACAGTGTTACTAATAACAACAGTGCGAGCAATAATGCAAGCAACAGCTCTGTCAATAATCAACCACCCACACCTACTTCAAGCAGTCAGTCTATGACAAGTAGTACAATGAATGAGGAGCATAAATTAGCGCTTAAACAATGGCATTACTGTATACAATTGGCTAAATATATGTTTGAAGAAGGCTTGTTGGATAGACAAGAATTGCTACAGTGGATTCTAGAATTGTTGGATAAGATTAGGTCTTCTCCTTCAGAAGATGGCATATTGAAGCTGCTATTGCCATTAGCTCTGCAATATTTAGAGGAGTTTATACAATCTGAATTACTGGCCAGACGACTAGCATATTTATGCTGTCGTAAATTGGCACATATGTGCAATAATGTTGAGAGCAACAACAATCCGCAGAGTCCGTCCATTACTAAGAACGAAGTTAATGGTAGCAAGGATACTACTGTTGTTACCCAAGGACAATTAAATCTCTTGACAGCTGCTTTCAATGATTATTTGACCTGTGCACACCACAGAGATGTAATTTACAGTTTATCCACTATAATACAGGTAAACGATAGTTTTATTCTATGTTTTATAGTGCTAATTTACATTGCTTGTGGTAAGAATTGATCAAATTGATAGTATCATGTGATAAAGAAATTTATTGAATTTTAGGTCATAACATTAGAGTGTCCCACGTCATTGGTTTGGAACAGCGTTGGCGAAGGAAAGGCTCCGTCAGTTTTGAACGGATCACCCTTAGACTATTTACCGTGTCCTCCCGCAGCTTTGCCGTGTCCACCCGCGAGCTCTGGCAATCCTACAATGAAACAGCTAAGGATCGCGCAGGAAAATATAAGAGCTCGATCTCAGGCAGCTGAAGGCAGATGGTCGTGCGACAAGTGGCAACAAAGCAGCGCTGGAACGACGACCACTAAAGTGTTAGCCGCATTGGACGCTCTTGACCGGCACAGTTTTGATAAAATGGACGGCTCTAATTCGCTTGACACCCTGTACGGAAAAATCTTCACACCACCACCGAAAGATAATTCCAACGAACGTGACACAAAAACGGAATATAATCCACAACAGGATTCTGCAGTAGTTGAAATTCTGTGTGAATGGGCTGTGAGTGCCGAACGTTGGGGGGAACACAGGGCGATGGCGGTTGCTAAACTTCTCGAAAAGAGACAGAGTGAAGCTACTGGCGAGACTAACGATAACGATGATAAAGACAGCACGTGTAGTAATGGGAGTCCGCCTGTGCTTCCGATCTTTCAACCGCTGCTTATGAAATTCTTAGACGTGGACGCACCGGTACTCGATAATACTTCGACTCAATCTAAGGCTCAATTTACAAATTTAGTTCACCTGTTCTCAGAATTGATAAGGCATGATGTTTTCTCTCATGATGCGTACATGTGCACTCTTATTTCGAGAGGTGATCTTATACAAGGTAGATATATATTTTACCTATTTAAAAATTATTACTTAATCATTTTAGTCACTTATAAAGATATCATTGTAATTAAATTATTATGTGGATTTACATTTTAAAGTTAAAGAATATGTATCTCGTGTTCTAAGCATATTTAATATAACAATTTGACACAAGAGACGGTACAACAGGTTAATATATTGGAAGTAAATCGCAAAGATACTTAATGCAGACATTAAATGATTAATTCTATATAGATCAAAATATTTTAGAAATTTTGATAAATTTGCCTAATTATGAAATTGTTTCATTTTAATTAGGTCCGGTGGCTAGCAAACCCGGAACACCTAGTAATAGAGAGCCGATCGATGAAGATAGTCTCTTTCCGGGTATAGATTTAAAGCCGACTAAATTGGAAGTACCGGATCATGGACGTGCTATGGATTACGATGATAGTAAAATCGATGACGATTTAGACAAGATATTGCAACATATTAAAGAAGATCAACAAAATAGCATGGATGCACCAGACAGCCCCAAAGAGGATGCATTGACTGGTCACGGAGGTCATGAAAGTCTTGATTCAAAAATGCCATCAAGTCATAGCAGACACTTATTATACACCACTCATTTTCCGCTACCACAAGTAATTTTTTTAAATATATTTTTCTGTCAAATGATCTTTCACCATGAGATACTAAGCTTCTCTAAACAAATGCTTAATATATTGTAAATTTGGTGGAATTATTAGATACAGATCATACACGTTTATCGTAATATTAATATTGCTAAATTCTTCTGCATACAATTTATAGACGTTATTTAATCTATTGATATATACTTACAGGACGAGACATGTAGCCAGCACGACTGTAATCAGCGACATGTATTACTTTATGGTGTTGGACGTGTCAGAGACGAGGCCAGACATGTTGTTAAAAAAATGACAAAAGAAGTATGTAAATTGTTTGGGAAAAAATTCAGTATTGACGTTGCCGAAGGGGGCAAAGTAAAGAAGCATTCTCGAAGTGAATTCAATTTTGAAGCTGTTACTATGAAATTTCAAAATCTAAGTTATTTCGATCAACACGTTGTAACATGGCAGTGTGCCACGCAAGTGATAGAAATGTTGAATACATTTGCATTGGCTGGTTCATCTTATTTACCAGTTCATGAGCATGTAGCCTTTCTTTTCGATCTGATGGAACTAGCATTAAATATATATGGCCTAATTGACGTTTGTATACAAATTCTGAAAGAATTACCAGAAGTGGAGGCACAATTGACAGCTAGAAATAGTCAATTAGTTCGAAGTTATACTACAAATCTAAGTTTATACGTAGTTGGCGTATTAAGAAGATATCACTGCTGTTTATTATGTAAGTCTTAATCGTTATCTTACACATATGTTTAGAGATTTTTATACATTTATATTATATACATAAAAATTTGACTGTTACAGTATCACCCGAGCAGACGACAGCGGTATTTGATTTACTCTGCAAAGTAGTG